TCCCTCTCTGTGGGTCCTCCTTTTTGTGTCCTTTACCCCAAGATCCAACTGCCTTAGCCTTGAACCCTGATCTCTGCCTTTTCTGTCCAGCCAGACCTCCACAACCTGCTTGGGCTCAAAACTGGGTAGATGCAGGGCTCACGTTGTGTGCTTCCTCCTACCCCCAAGGATCACAGCCCTGTGTGATATTGGAGCACTGTCTGGTACCTGCACACAGTTGTTTTATTTATGTTGTCCAGGTTCCATTATTGTTTCCATCAGGAGAGCAAATCCTCTGTGTTCTTTTTAGGCTACTTGGTATCTGAATTCCTATCTTTGGGGAGTTCTGCATCTCGTTACATTCCCTCATACACAGTACTGAAGTGAAAGCTGTCCCCCTAAATGCCCCCACCCAACATTCATAGGGCTTCCTTCTAGGAATACCCCTATCCCTCTGCTCTAGAATGGCCAGATGGAGATCTGAAGACAGAACTGTATGTTCCCTTACTGATTGTTAAGCCATTCAAACCCATGATCTATTTATGGAAAGATCTCTGCTCACTTGGGTTTCTGACCTCATCCTGTGCACTAGAAGCTCCCCAAGGACGGGGAACATCTGCCATTGGTCTCTACATTCAAGGGAGGAGTGAATAGATTGGGACAGTCACACCCACTTTAGTAGCTGCTGAGTGGGCCTGGATCAGCTCTGAGTGGGGTGTTAGCTAGCTCCCTCCCTCTCCTGAGCTGTGTTTATATTCAGGCTGGGAGCTGAAGAGATAGAAAATTACACCCATCCTTGCAGCCTAATTACTTAAACAGGTGCATGGGATCTCTCCACTTGCCAGACAACAGAGGTGCCTCAAACCTCTTCTCCACTGGGATAATTCATCCTCACTTTTTTCCATCATCCTATGGGGTCCCCAGGTGTGCAGGCGTGGCCCACAGTGTTCATTGGCACTCTATGAAACCAGAGACAGAAAAGAGAACTGACGTATACACTGGGCTATGCGCTTGTGAGTAATTTTAAAAGGAAATCACCTTCAAAGCTTTGAAATGTTTTCTCCACCCAGATACTGGGTCTTTGATGCCACAGACTGTGTTGGAAAATGAGTCTTCTGCTTTAATTCTCAAAGAATCATCACGCATGCATAATACTCTTCCTACCATTTAAAAGAAATGTAGATCATATGTAAATGTGCTTCTGTGCCACTGTGCATCCCAACTTGAGTTAAGTACACATTAATTTCACCATAATGACATTGCTCAGTTACTGCTTCCTCGATGTTTGCATAAAAAAGCAGGTAAGCCGGGCTCGGTGGCTCAGCCTGTAATCTTGTGTCTTTGAGAGGCTGAGGTGAGTGGATTGCCTGAGCCCGCGGGTTTGAGATCCACCTGGGCAACTTGGTGAGACCTCATCTCGACAATAAATCAAAAACATTAGCCGGGTGTGGTAGCGCGTGCCTGTAGTTCCAGCTACTCAGAAGGCTGAGGCAGAAGGATCGCTGGAGCCCAGCAGGTCGAGGCTGCGGTGGCTGGGAGCGGCCACTGCACTCCAGTATGGGCAACAGAGTGAGACAGTGAGACTCCGACTCAAAAAAAAAAAAAAAAAAGCAGGCAAATCATTTCTGTATACATTCATTTGCCAATCATGACCATGTTTTGTCCAGTCCAGGCCTCTGAGTCAGGCATTGTACCAGGGACTGATGGCTCAATTTGAGGGACTTAAAGATCATCTCACCCGACCCCTAATGCTTGAACCTCCTCCCTGCTCCTTGCCAAGACTCATCCTTAAAATCCTTCTCTGACAGAGAGCTCACTACCTCTGGAGCAGCCTAATCTCTCTTGGACAACTATGAACCATTAGAAAGGTTGAACTTTTACTGGAAGCCTGTCCCTGAAGAGCAGCATGGAGTTTATCTCTTTTGTTTCCAAATCTGGCTTTGTTCATTTGACATTATAAGTGTTTCCTTCACATCATTAAACAATCTGAATTTTTTGTATGTATACACATTCACATATTCACAAATATGCCATCGTATTAGATGTGCATTTTATAATTGCTATTTTACTAAGCAATGTAATATAAGCAAACATCCTTTGATGTCAATTAACCTACATGTCCCTTCTCATTTTCAATGCCTACATAATCCTCTATTGTAGGATGTACCATACTTAATTTTATCGTTGTCTTTCAGTGGGCATGTTTCCTTTTTTTCCCCCATAGTGATAGTGACCAACTCCAGGTTGAAATCTTCACACAAAGTGATTTCCTCAGAAGAGATGCATAGAGGGGCCATTCCAGGTAAAGACAGTAGCTTCCCAGTTGGAAGTAATCATTAAATAAGTACTGAGCGTTCCCAGAGCTTTGGGAGGCTGAGGCGGAAGAATCGCTTGAGGCCAGGAGTCTGAGACCAGCCTGGGAAACATAGTGAAATCCCTGTCCCTACAAAAAATAAAAACTAGGGACCCGCCTAGGCAACTTGGCGAGACCTCATCTCTACAATCAATCAAAAATGAGCCGGGCATGGTAGCGCACGCCTGTAGTTCCAGCTACTCGGAAGGCTGAGGCAGAAGGATCGCCAGAGCCCAGCAGGTCGAGGCTGCAGTGGCCGGGAGCGGCCACTACACTCCAGTCTGGGCAAAAAAGTGAGACTCCAACTCAAAAACAATAAAAGCAAACAATAACAAAAAAAACTAGCTGGGTGTAGTGATGTGCGCCTATAGTCTCAGCTACTAGGGAAGCTAAAGCAGGAAGATCACTTGAGCCCAGGAGTTGGAGGCTGCAGTGAGCCATAATGACACTGCTGTACTTCAGTTTGGATGAAAGAGTGAGACCCTGCCTCTAAAAAAATTAATTAATTAATTAAATTGCAATAAGTATTGAGAGCAGCGCTGAGTGTGTAATAACATTGTTTTTGTTTCTGCTTTTGTTTTGAGTCAAAGTCTCATTCCTCACCCAGGCTGGAGTGTAGTGACCCACTCATGGCTACCGCAGCCTCAACTTACTGAGCTCAGGTGATGTTTCCACTTCAACCTCCCAAGTAACTGGGACTACAGGCACAGGCCACCATGTCTGGCTAATTTTTTTTATGTATTGTAGAGATGAGGTCTCACCAAGTTGCCCAGGCTGGTCTTGAACCCCTGGGTTCAGGCAATTCTCTTGCCTTGGCCACCTAAAGTGCTGGGATTACGGGCATGGTGGCTGACTACCACATAAAGTGGCCTCTGAAGGGGCTCATTTCTGGGGGTAAAGACATCCCTTGGAAGACTGCAAACTAAGAAGGGACTAGGTTTGAAAAACAAAATGAACACCACCCAAAAGTGCTGTAACTGGGCTTCCAAGAGACTTTCTCCATCTCTAGAAGTTCAACAAAGAAAAAAAAAAAAAACACAGGGCAAAGGAGGGGTAGTGAGTGAAGGCAGGAAAAGTCTCCCATAAAGCCTGACCAGCGAGTCCCTGCCACCATTCAGTCTTCACCTGGCCACACATCAAATTCCAGTAACCAGAACTCCACTTAGTCTCTTATCTGGGTCCCTTCTAGGGAAGGATAGGGTGCACGGGGCCTGGCTCAGAGAAGGCATAGGGGCTGCGTGAATAACTGCCTGTGAGCACCTGTGTCTTTCCAGTACGCACTCCCCACTAAGCCACAGCCACGCTGACTTGTGCACTGGGACTTCATCAGAGTTTTATTTGTACTAACAAAAGGATGGAAAACAAACCTGGTGAGATCATTGCGATTTCGTGCAACTAAACACTGCACAAAGTTAAAAAGCCCAAAGCCACACTCTACACAAACTCCAAAACACACGAGTATCACCGAACCTCATCACAACGAAGTCACTCTTGACCATGAGATGCACCATGACTTTATGTAACATTAAGACACACACTCACATGCACACACAATTGAACTATGTTCCCATTGATTGTACAAGAAACCTGATTTCAGAGATGATAAGAGGTGGGGAAATCATTGAAATACTGAAGGTAGAAAGATCAAGTGCAGACTAATGGGTACAGCACACTACACTCTCTGTCTCACGTGTGTGTGGGGGGCGTGGCGGGGGCTTAAAGGGCTATAAAGTCATACGTGCTTTTATAGACATAGAAAATTCCTGAAAAGATACACAAAAACCTGATAGCAAGAGTGACCTCTGGAAACAGTGTTGGGGGATTGGGATACAGGGTGGGAGGGAAATCGCTTTTCGACGTTGCATCTATTTGTAAAACCTGACATTTTAAGCCATATATACACTTTCCAAAATAAAACTCTGAAAACGACTGAATGCAAAATAAAATAGTTCATCTTCTGGGAAGATTGAGGGTTATAATATTTGAAGTCAGTCTTGGATCTGGAGATCGGACAGCCAGTCCTGACTCTATCATAGCGACCTCGGGCAAGTTCCCGTTCAGTCTGGGCCTCGATTTCCCCCAAGAGTCCAATCGGCTGTCCAGGAGCTGGCCTCGGGACGCCCCGCCAGCTCAGCGCACCAGGGGCACCCGGGGCCCACCGCGCCGCGCTCGTCCTGGG